AAAAATTGTTGACCATGTATTAAGAAAATGTGAAACTCATATTTGAAAATTGTTAAATATATATTTTGAAAATTTTCTTGATACAAAAAATGTAGAATGAAAACCAAAAGAAAGAAAGAAAAATGAAAAAACAATGAAATCCAAAAAATGAACAAAACGAAAAAAAGAAAACGAAAAATAAAAGGGAAGAAACAAACGCAAAAATAATAGAAAAAATATGAATACTGACAAAGAAACAAAGAATAACAAAAACTCCCTGAAAACTAAGAAGGAAACAAAAAAACCGAAGGAAAAAGAAGGAAAATTTAAAAAAAAGGAAAATGCATAAAAACCATGAAAGGAACAAAGAGAAACCAAAAGAAAAACGAAAAAACAAGGTATAACGACAAAAAAAAAAGAAAACCGAAGAAGAAAGAAGAAAACCAAACAAATCACAAAAAAAAGAAATAAAAACAAGTACGATATTTTCACCCTAAAGTAGCATGTGCCTTATTTAGTTCCACGACCTGGGATCATATCCTCGCGTGCCCTATTTTTCTCTTCCCTTTTCTCATGTTTTACTACCGCTACTGGCCCGGCCCATTACTGTATCGTCTTCATGCGAGAGACCCTTCCATCTTGCGTAAAGCGAGATATAGCCGCCACGCCGTACTGCACGCACAGCCTCACTCTTGTACGTGGTCCAAGTAGTTGCATTGTTGGGCCTTTTTTATGGGCCACGGGTGACATTTCGCGATTGGCCTACACGAAAAATAAAAACCGTTCCCACCAGTATAAATAAGTTCGCAAATTTCCTTAAATATCAGCCAAAGTGCCAGGAATAAATAAACAGATTATGAGGAAAACACCGAGGCCTTGAAGGCTTCGGGTGAACAGGTTTAAAACATGCATATAAGCAATGGTGCGTAATGGCACGCCGAACAGGTTTTGCGATTTTTTTCGCGTTTTGCAACGCACGGGCATTCGTCCTAGTACAAACTAAAAGCGAAAAACAAAACAAACAGCTGCTGGCGTTGGCGTATGGCTCGCTTCGGGCGACACATAGCCGCGCCCGAAGGTCCGCTAAAACAAAAGGCAGCTCGAAGTGCCATGGGTGGTGAAAAGTCTGCGAGACTGAATATTACTCCGTCTGAACCTACTGTAAGCACGCATATCCATCCATCCACAGTGATTTTGCTGGCACTGGCAGAATCCATCACTCGTCATCGTCAACGGTGGAGCAGCAGCGGCGGCAGAGCACGTACTCTGCCCCGCCTGTCTCCCCTGGACACGCTTTGCTCCGCTGCTGTGCTGCAATGGAGCAGTGGAGCTGCAATGCATCCTCTCTGTGATCTCTTCGCATGCACGTACTGAGAATAGCGGCAGCTTCTTATTGGCTCCTTTCTGCAGTGCAGACAATAGTTACTACTACTGGCCAGCGAGGAGAATGGAGCCCAAGCGCAGCTCCACACTGTTGGATCGTAGGCCGGAAAATACGTACTGCACGCGTAGACTCCGAGGAAAATTGATGAGACGCACACAATGACCGGCCCATGTTTGAAGGTTGTGGCCACGGGGGTCGTTGACGAAGAAATAGAGGAAGAAGACGGGGCGCCCCAAATCCACATCTTCTCTTCATCTCGGCGGCGGGCGAACTCGGGTGCCTATCGGGTTCACCCCGCCCAAAGATTTGCCGACGAGGTAAAAAAGGACATCCTGTCTCGTCTTTTCTTTGGATTGCTTCGGTTGAATGCAATGTGGCTATAGAAACAATGGTTGCAATTGTGCAATGTTTGTGTTTTGTAATGTTTTCGCGTGTTTTGGAGGTGGACTGGTTGTCGCAAGCCAGGATAGCCGAGGGGAAGCGGTTCATGATGCTGGATCCAAATGCCATGGACCAATTGCAAGATCGTTTTGGGATTGATGGGTACGGACCATGATGGTGAGCGGGGAGGCGTACATTGCCAAGCCGAATATGACGCAGTGGATGCCGCGCTATCAGGCCATACCTCAAAAGGCTCGCTGCCTTCTCTAGATACTTGATTGGAAGAGAAGGTAGATGTAAGGTAGTTGATGTGAGCGGAGATCACGCGTTATAGGATGACATGGAGCTCCAAACATGCGTGAGGAGATGACGATGCACACACCGGAGGAGGGAGCAATGCAAATAGTGAAGCATGCGACATGTGATATATGCATATGGTTGAGTGCTTTATTTTTTTGCTCATGTAACTTGTTTAAAAAAATATGTGCATGATTACTTTTGAGATTAATTATATGAAACGCTCCGGCAAGAAGGAGATTATTATATATGTAACGTTCCGGCAAAAAGGAGATTGCAAGAAACGTTAATTCGAGTGATAGAATGAATATGAGGGGGGAAATTGAGGGCTGAAATATGGAAACTCTGGGTTTGCACCTTTCCTCGGCAGCTTCTAAAATTTTAAGGAATACGCTCCATATATGCTTTGACGACAGCACATACACAACTATGCTAGAGTTGCTCTTAGCTTAGTGCTCGATTTCCAAAAGCTCCAAAGAGGGGGTATACATGGTTGAAGCTGTACGGAAGGGCATGAGAGCATCTATAGCCGGGTCACCAAATTCAGCCCCTAAAACGCCCGCAGACGCGCATCTACAGTCGAGGTCACCAAATTCGGCCCTTAACCGCGGACACTGGCTGGGCACTCGTCAATTTGTGTCCTCCACACCCACACTCCTCATATCTAATACCCTATATCCATACTGCCATGCAATGTGAACATAAAATTACGTAAAAAAACATAAATCACGTAGATCACCACACGGACTAGGAAACGGACATAGGTATGCACATCCGATCACCAAAAGATCACAGACGGATCTTCAAAAGCTACTCACGATGGAGACGGCGAAGATTCACCACTTCCTCGTTGGGCCTTTGCCCTTCTGGTCGCCGGAGCAGTTATAGGCGTCGGCGGCAGGTGGTGGATCATCGCAATCGTTGGAGGTGGAGTTGTGGTCGTCATCGGAGAGAACGATGAGCCCCTTCATCGGACGGACGGCCCGTCCTACTGCCGCTTGAGCTTGGCCACCCGAGCAGCCCGTTCATCGGGCGCGATAGCAGTTCCACCGCACGCCCCGACTCGCAAACCGCTGTCGTTCGAGGAAGAAACAGCGTGCGGGCGAACCAACTACACACCACACACATGCTTTGTCCTACATGGCACACGAAATTTGCCATCCCGTGTCAAGATTCGTGCACAAACGAATCGACGGCGATCAACACGTGCGGGCGAGTTGGAGAAGTGCCACACGTGTGGGCGTTAGTATTTCCGAAAAACTAAAGGTACGTACAAGGAAAGTTACAAAGTCCATAATTAAGAAATTAGCAAGCTAGTACTTTTGGAAGCGCAATTTTTAACCATCATATTTGTTTTGTCATATACCGTTTTTAAGCATCCTATATATTAATTATGAAAAAAAACATAATGCACTCTCTTACAATAACAATGCTAGATCTTAGTTCTTGGAATCTTCTTATACGGAATTATCTGGAATATAACATCCATCATTCTACATTTATCGATGTTGTCCATTGAAACATATCATCGAGAGGGAAAGTCAACCATCGGTTATCACTATACACCGTCAGGTATTTTCTCAAATAATCGAGAGGCACACATGTACCGTCGGCCATTTTCACTCATAGGTGAGAGTTTTGTTTTCACCTTCGGCTATTAAATTTCACCGCCGGGCATTACATGTAATCCCCGTGGGTGTGGTAAAAACCGCCGGGCATTGCATGTAATCCCCGAGCTCTGCCGTGTCTCCCTCCCTTGCTCGCTGCCTCTCGCGGCGGGCGGCGCGCGCCACTGATTCTGGCGTGCGCGTGCGGACGAGCGAAGCGGGCACTAGCACCCACCGCTGCCCGTGTGGACCAGCGGCTGGCACGAGAGCAGGCTACGCAACCCTCAGGGAGCTGCGCATGGGCCGGGAGGGGCCAACTCCGGCGTCCGCGCTACATCGACGGGAGATCGGCGACAATGCAGATCCGGCGCTGCCCCTCTGTCCACCTTGGACCGCTCCAGCGCAATGTAGAGGGCCAGCTCCTCCTCGACGTCTAGGTCAAAGCTGGAGTGGCTGCCGGAGCTCGACATCTCGCCGGATTCGATCGAAATCGAAGAGGGAGAGGAGGGGACGGAGCGAGATGGAAGAGTGGAGTAAGATCTAGGGTTCATACAGGGGACGGACTATGGTTTTTGTGGGGATGGTGTGGGTCGATGGTGAACCGGGCTGACGTGGCGGGAGCACCTGGGTCGCCTCATATCCATCCTACATTTGGCTGGATATAAGCGGCGCAGGACAGCCCGGACGTTTGAGACGTCCGTATGAGTTGATTTTTTCGATCGGTGACTGATCGATTCGTTCGTCCGAACATTTGAGACGGATCTGAGGCGCCCGGCTGGCCAGCCAGGAGGTGGATGGATCATGGATGCAGCAGCTAGCGGCAGTACGTACGTACGCACTGGATAGTGGGTCCAGCCGAAGCATCGGGCGTCGACCATCAAGGCTAGTTATTTGTCCTGCAGCTAGCTAGCTAAGCCTGGGCTGGGCTGGGCTGGGCTGGGGCCGGGCACTTGATGGCAATCACAGGCGCCACTCTGCAGTGACGATCGCCGTCGCTTTCCCCTCTCCCGTTAAACCCATGCACACAGTCGCAGCCAGCCTAGCTTCGCATCGCACGGGACGCCATTCAATAACCCGCTCACGGCTAACCTAATTCCCTCCCCGCCAGGAAACCCTCCGTCCACATCGATCCCATGATTCCCATCTCCACCTCCACCACCTCCGTGCTCCGTCTCCCTCTCCCTCCGTATATACGCGCCCGTGTCCCCTCCCACCTTCCTCCCCGCGTCCGTGGCCAGCACCCAATCCACAGCCGTACCATTGCTCGCTGTCGCTGGCCGGCTAGCTAGCTGCCTCTCGCTTCCTACGTGCCTCGTTGGGAGAAGAGGCCACGTACGCGCGTACGTCATCGGATGGCGTCCACGACGGCCGACGACGCGGGGGCGGGGCGGCGCAAGGCGGGCACGCCGCCGGCCCTGCCGCCGCCCCCGGCGGAGCAGGCCGTGAGGTGCCCGCGCTGCGACTCGCCCAACACCAAGTTCTGCTACTACAACAACTACAGCCTGTCGCAGCCGCGCCACTTCTGCAAGACCTGCCGCCGGTACTGGACCAAGGGCGGCGCGCTCCGCAGCGTCCCCGTCGGCGGCGGCTGCCGCAAGAACAAGCGCTCCCGCTCCGCCTCCTCCGCCTCCCGCGGCCTCTCCCTCACCACCCCGGCCGGGGGCGCCGCCGACCAGGACCAGCACGCCGCGAGGATGGGCGTGGGCGGGTTTCCTGGTGGCGGCGGCGACTTCCGCGGCGTGGTCGGCATGCTGCCGGTGCTCCACTCCCCGGCCGTCGTCGGCCAGTACGTGCCGTTCGGGGACTGGTCCTCGGGGGAAACCAACGGCGGTGGCGCCGCACGCCACGCAACCAACGGATCAGGAGGAGCCGGGAACGGAGCGGCGAGCAGCGCCATCGCGTCGTCCATCGAGTCGCTCAGCTTCATCAACCAGGACCTCCACTGGAAGCTGCAGCAGCAGCGGGTCGCCACCATGTTCCTCGGCCCGCCTAGCGCCTCCTCCTCCTCCCACCCCCACGCCGTCGGTGGTGGCAGCAATGGCATGCCAGCCGCCGCGCAGTTCGGGGGAGGCGGCACCTTCCTGCAGATGGCGGGGCTATCCGGCTGCATGGAGACGCTGCCGGCGGCCACGACGTGGTTCATGGATAACTCCTACGCGCTGCCTTCCCCGCCCCGACCCGCTGCCGGCGTGGGCGCCGCCAGTAGCAACATCAACAGCAGCCGGAGTAGCGGCGGCGGCGGGGACGATAACGCCACGTCGAACGACAACAACAACTGCGGCGGCTCGATCCCGTCCTGGGGCGACATTTCGACGTTCGCAATGCTGCCGTAGAAACTTCAACGACTTCCGAGTGCGGATTCCGAAGGAATCGAGCTTGTTGCTAGGGCGGAGGCTAATTTATCCCTGTTATTAATTCATTAGCGAATGATTGGTCTCTAACTGGGTTGAGATATACTAAGTGTATTAATTTTACTTCTTATGAAGTGATATAGTCTGTCAGTTGTCACAGAATCCTAATCAGCAATCCATGTATCATGTAATCTTTTTTACCGTTTCTTTATTTTGTTTCATTTTCATTCGCTTTTGCCTTTGTCTATGCATTTTTACATGCATTCGTGTTGTTAAATGACATGTGAGCGACTATTTGTAAGTCGTCTAAATTTTAAATTTGATGTAAGTCGAACTTTTTCATATATTGTTGTTCTTCCTATTTGGGTTCTCCTTCCCCACACTCTCTGTTGTCACCGGCCGAACCGCCTGCCACCATGGCAAGCGGCACTTCCACGCACCTCCCAGCTCCACCATTCCGTCGCCTCCGGCCTAGCCGGCAATGGCGGAGCCAGAAAAAATCGATTGAGAGGGCCAAGTGATGGTGAATCAGATTGGGGAGGGCCAAACCATTGAAAGAGAGGCATTTAGCAGCAAGTAATGACTAATTTTACACTGTTCACAAGCAAATTATCAACAAATCTTGGATGTTAGGGGGGCCAGGGCCCCTACTGGCACCCCCCTGTCTCCGCCACTGCTAGTCGGCCATCTCTCTAACCCCGCTCCCCCTCCCGGCCCACACCCCCACACCCCACACACCTTCTGTTCTTCTCCAACACCGGTAGCCCTACCCCGCACCTGACCGTCAAGTCTTCGACTCACCTCCACCTAAGAGATGCGGCGAGCCATATCACTAGGGCTCTAGTTTGTTCCCGAACCGGACTCGCCTACAACCCCGCGTATAGCATCCACCCGCCGCGGCGCCCCAGGCCTGACCTTGGAGCTGCACCTCGCATCCTAGCTTCTTCTCTTCTCACAAAAAATTGAATTACACGCAAATTCAGATAACTTACAAATAGTTCATGTGAAATGACTTAGATCTCATGTCTAGGCTGGATTTAAACGTGTTCGATTTGAGCTGGATGACGTTGTGTTTGTGTCTAGCCTCTTTTTTCACCTACCGAGTTTCATGAAAGCTAGACAGACAGATCGATGAGAGATGGGCTCAAGTGTTTGATGTTTATGACCATCTTTATCACACAAGGTTCATCACTTCGGTTGCCTGCACGCTACCTCTCTCACAAAAAGTGCAAGCAGAGGCGAGCTCTATTGGGCTCTTTAATTTTTTTCCAGGGAAAATGCTTTTTCCACACGTCCAAAAAATCTGGAAAAAAGTATACATGTAGACATATAGTTGTAGTATGTATATATAAAATTTTATGAACATATATATATATATCCATATGTGATGTACACAAAAAAGACAAATACACAGATTAAAATTCGCCTTTTCTTTGTTGTATTTGGGTCAAATATTTGTCTTTTTTGGTAGCATGCAAATAATCAAAATAGTTGATGCAATTTTATGCGCACGTGAAGAATATGCATATCTTTGTAGAAAAAAATAACAATTTTTGAAACGAGCTCCATGGAGCTCTGACCTCGGTCTTTGCAACGCCGCACTCACCTCTCTCTGTCTCTAAAAGAACGATGCAGGGTTGCAGGAAGTAGCAAGACATTCATGGCCGCCAATGTGAAGCCCTAAATCAGTAATGGCGAGGCAGGTTGTCAGAGCCTAGTAACTCCATCCCCTGTGGTAAGTACGAGAGAGCAAGATATGTTGGATGCATCATGGATGGTTCCGAAATGAAGGCTCCTTTTTCATCTTCCCAGTAAGATTCTTCCATTCCTAGGAGCATCGATCACACCCAAGGCCGACAGGAAAGCAGTAATTCTTACTCTCCAACAGGACCGAAGACTGTTGTGAGATCTTGAATACGTACTCACTTCAGATCGATCTAGGAGCCTAGCTAGGCTGTAGGGGACCACTTTGCCTCGAGCTCGATTAATTTCACCACTATCAGAGCATATGGCTAAGGGCGTGTTCGGATCTTCTCCAGCTTCACAAAACTCCCCAAATTCAGCTTCTCAAGATAGCTTCCCGCTCCACCTGGCGAATTCCATCCGTTCGGCGCCGAGCGCAACTTCTCCCATCGCCACCTTTCAGCTGGCAACCCAGCTGTGGAGACAACTGGCCTGTTCAGTGCCACTTTTGGCCCGCTGAAACCAACCTAGTTCGGGATGCTGCTCCTCGCTCGTGCAAGGTGACTCGGGCATCAATAGCATCGCCGCGTCGGGCTGGGCTTCTCCTTCCGGTGAGCTCCCTCACTAGTAGAAAAATGGTCAAACGTGAAGCACATTAGTGCCGATTTGTATTTGAGCCGGCACTAATGTATACATTAGTGCCGGTTCCAACGGCTAGCTGGGCCGCTTTCATTAGTACCGGTTCGTGCCACGAACCGGTACTAATGAGAGTGGTGGCAGGATGTTGTCAGACTGGGGCCCCTCCAGCCCCTTTAGTACCGGTTCTTGGCACGAACCGGTACTAAAGGTCATCCTACATAAACCCTTCGTCCACCCGAGCTCGCTCTGTTCTTCCCCTTTTCTCTCTCCTCTCTCTGTTCTTCCCCTCTTCCTCTCGAGCTCATCACACATTTTGCCCAAAATTTGTCAAGATTTGAAGGCCCCCATCCATTCAAATGATCACAAAGGTTAGCAACTTTGTCCTTTCATCTCTCATTGCTAGATTAGCTCTTGCAATGCTTTATATAATGATTAATTTGTGAGTTTAGTAATTTGGGAGGATATATATATATATATATATATATATATATATATATATATATATATATATGCTAGTATTTGATTTATATGCAGTTTGAGGTCAAAAATAACACTTAGTTTGCATATGTAGGTGTGGTTTACTTAGTGCCTTCTAAATCTCCGTCGTAACCACCGTCGATCGCCCGCACCGTCCCGTCGCCGGCACCACCTTGTGGTGAGCCTCTTGTTCATGAAATTTTATATAAAAATTGATGTTTGTGTGATTTGGATATATA